AGGTAGAGAGAGAGATGGAGAGCATGTGCATTCGAGCAAGGGGAGGGGCAGAGGAAGAAGGAGAGGGAGAATCTCAAGCAGACCCCCGCTCAGTGCAGAGTCAGACCCGGGGCTCAATCACAAGACCCTGAGATCATGACCTGAGCCAAAACCAAGAGTCGTACACTTACAGACTGAGCCACCCAGGTGCCCCAATCCGATGTCATTTTTATCTAAAATTTTGTCTGCAAGAAAGTTTATAAGTGTGTGCTCCTTCTAAGAAGAGGTAATGGTCCTTTGACTCCAGTAGAAAGGAGAGGCTATTGATTTTTTTTTCCTATCTTTCCTTCTTTTCCTTCTTTTTTTTTTTAAGATTTTATTTATTTATTTGAGAACTAGAGAATGAGAGAGAGAGCACAAGCGGGGGCGGGGGGCAGAGGGAGAAGTTGGCTCCCCACTAAGCAGGAAGCTGGACATAGGACTCGATCCCAGGACCCCCAGGATCATGACCTGTGCTGAAGACAGATGCTTAACTGACTGAGCCACCCAGGTGCCGCTTCTCTTGTCTTCTTTCTCTGTCCCTCCTTCCCTCTCTCTTCCCCCACATAATCACTTCCATCCTGACACGGTGAGCTCTGATGCTCTATCTGGCACCGTATAAAGCTCTTCTTACACAGATTATCTCATTTACTTCTCACAAAAACCTTCTCAGGTGGGTCCTGTTCATACTACCTTTTCTAAATAAGGAAACTGAAGATTAGAAAAAGCCCCTAGCTGGCCCCTAGCTGGCTCAAACCTGAACAGTTAGCTTCTACCTCTCAATCCCCTCCCATTCCATAGCATCCGCTGTACAGGAAAACTGGATCTAAGGTGGCCGGTGACACGCTCCTGTCTCTAAGAGAAGTGGCTGGGAGCTGAGGGAAGAGGAAGGCTCTCCTGGCTGTGAGCAATGAGCCATGGCTTCCCGAAGACACCGTCAGAGCTGCGCCTAGGCCTAGACCTTGGATGGAGATGGGCAAGGAAGGTCCTTCAGGCAGAGAAAACCAACTTTCAACCTCCAAAATAGAAGTCAAAATCCCATGATAGCTCTGAAATTTTATTTCTATCTTGTTAGCTCTTTTAGAGCCTCTGGATTGTGTGTCCAGGTCAAGCAGTTGCTGTTTTGATCATCTTTGTTTTTTAATGGATCAAGAGATGGTTTATATTTGCAATAAGTCATGTGAATTTTATCTTCTCAAATTCCAAAATTTCAGCTCCTATAATCTGTGATATCTAAAATCTGGTGTTGGTTGAGAACACCAGCTTAGAAAAACCAACACTTTGTTTTTCCTTTACCACAACAAAACATCTTCCCCAAATGGCAATGTTCCTGACCAGCTTTTGATGATGGAAGCACTGCGTAGCTTGGAGCCGTCCCATTTCCCATAATGTAAGTGGCAGCAGCTTCCCTCGGTTGCCACTGCTCTTGGGAGCAAGTGGGCTCCACCGGCCAGACTCAGCTGAAAAACACTTCTTGGCTCACAGAAGGCTCTTGTACTTTCCTGTGTTTCTGATTGCTTTGCTTATTACATTAGGAGCTGGGCAACGCAGTCAGGGTTTTTGGGCATATGTACGCATGGGCAAGAAAGCAAACTCAGGAGGACAGGAGAGCTGTCCTTTCCTTTCTCAAGCATTCTATAAATAGCGGGGCGCCTGGGTGGCTCAGTCGGTTAAGCATCTGCCTTCAGCTCAGGTCATGATCCCAGGGTCCTGGGATCAAGGCCAGCATTGGGCTCCCTGCTTGGTGGGAGTCTGCTTCTCCCTCTTCCCCTCCCCCCTGCTCATGCTCTCTCTCTCTCACTCTCTTTCTCTTTCAAATAAGTAAATAAGATCTTTCAAAAAATATTCTGTAAGTAGCAAAATAATAGATATAAAGCATTAATTTCATTATTTGCACAGAAGCTAATTCTACCTCTATTTTCCTGCACTTTTGGGGGGCAACACATTACTCATTGTGGAGTCTTTAAATTTTTTTAGCAGAAGTAATGATAGGGCTCCACTGTCCGTTAGGGGACACCCTTGATTATGTGGTGCTTTTTCTTTCCCTGCTCCGTAAGTGGGAAATTTGGAAATTCCTGATAGGAAGAACAATATCCCACCCCAGGTGGCATCAGAAGCCACTTGTAGAGGGCGGGGGTGGAATGAAATCCTGGGTTCATGGACAGGAGTGGTCATGTCACCACTGCCATTGCTCAAGTCGCCCTGGACCCTGGTTATCCCCTCCAGGATGGATGGGATGGGCTCTGTGGCTTAGTTCCTTTCCAGCTCCCTAAGTACAACTCCATCTGAATGATGAAGCCCATTCTTGCTGCTGGAGAGAGGGAAGAATGTCATTGCTCATGTCTTGCTTGTCCAGCCTCTGAAAGACTCCAGATTGGTGAACCCCGCAGGGGCAGTGCATGGTTTCATAAATATCCTCAAGGTGGCCTTATTTTTCCTACATTGTAGCTTTATGTTTCTTTTCTTTCTCTTCTTTTTCTAAGATTTTATTTATTTATTTGAGAGCAAGAGAGAATGGAGAGAGAGCATGAGCAGGGTGAGGGGCAGAGGGAGAAGCAGACTCCCTGATGTGGGAAGCCTGATGTGGGATTCCATCCACCAACCCTGGGATCATGACCTGAACAGAAGGCAGACACTTCACTGACTGAGCCACCCAGATGTCCCTAGCTTTATGTTTCGGTAAGAGCCATGAGCCTGACTTGGCCCCTACAACCTCATAGAAAATGTTTCCTTTCCCCCTACCCTTTCCCCCCAAGCCCAACATTTTTAAAGATGTAGAGATAGGGCGATCCCCCTGGAGTCCACTTGCCCTGGTAGAGCTCAGCAGCCCTCCACCCTTCAGCAACTGTTTGACTTGGAGTTCGCTGGGGAGGCTCTGGGGGGGTGGGGCAGGGGCCGCCGTTCTGCATGGCAGCTGGAAGAGTCAATATTGAAAGGTCTGTTTGTTTTTTTGGCCTCCACCTGTTGGCAACTCCGTAATCATAGCCACTCATAATAAGGAAGAAGGGACAGCAGGGGAATTCCTGTACTGGAACAGTGAATGTTTCCACTGTTCTTCTGGGGAGACAAAGCAAGACAAATGGGCCTTCCATTGAGAGCAGGACATGAGCAAGAAAACAGAGATGCCAGGAGGGAGGGTGCCGTGGAGCTTAAAGGTGACTCAGGGAGCATACCTCTGGGAAGTGGCCCTGTGCCCTCCAAGCTTACCTGCTCCTCTCCTCACTGAGTGGCCCCTTCCCCGCAGCAGAGGAGGCAGAAACTCACAGTATAGGCTTCTTTTTTTTTTTTTAAGATTTTATTTATTTATTTATTTATTTATTTATTTATTTATTTAGCAGACAGAGATTACAAGTAGGCAGAGAGGCAGGCAGAGAGAGAGGTGGGAAGCAGGCTCCCTGAGCAGAGAGCCAGATGCAGGGCTCGATCCCAGGACTCTGGGATCATGACCCGAGCTGAAGGCAGAGGCTTTAACCCACTGAGCTACCCAGGTGCCCCCACAGCATAGGCTTCTAAATGCTACCCACTCCATTGGCTTACTCAGACCCTCAGCCATTATTCATGGTTCCGTGTCTCAGAGAACACTGCTGTCACCCAGGAGCAACCCATCCTCCTACAACACTCTCTCCCTCCCTTGGTTCTGAGATTAAGGAGCTTCCTGACCCCCCTCTTGTGCCTCCAGTCCTCACTGCCTCCTCTGGAATCAGGGCATTTGACCCCTCCGCACTCCCCATCCCTTCCTTCTTCATCAGATTCTTGACCACGATCTACAAACACCTCTGAGTCCCTCCACATTTCTCTTGCCTCCGCTGCCAGCCTCCCTGAGAGCGGTCCTTCCTCCCTTCTCCATTTCCTCACTTCCCATTCACTCCCATGGCTTCCAGCACTACCCACCCCTCCCCGCCACCAAATAAAAATGAAAACACAACACAACACAACAAAACCCCTATTGTAGGACCAGCAGAAAGGGAGCTGGGGTTTTCTGGGGAAGGATTCATGGAGAAGGGGACATTTCAGTGGGGCCTGGATGCATGAGTAGGAGTTCCGCAGGCAGACAACAAAGGGAAAGGGCATTCCAGGCAAAGCAAGAGCTCCCAGCTGGGACTTTTGGGCAACAGCCTATGTGCCTAGCAGGGGTGCATGTGTATGTGTGTGTGCTTGGGGGAGACCTGGTGAGGCTGGGAAATCAGCTGGTGGCCAGAGAGTTTGCCTGAGAGGGCCTTGTGTACCGGACTGAGGGTTTTCCTTCAGCTTGAACCTTGGGGGGCCTCTGGAGATTTGTTTAATGCTTTATTAATAAATGTATTGGATTTTTTTTTAAATATTTTATTTATTTGACAGACAGAGATCACAAGTAGGCAGAGAGGCAGGCAGAGAAAGAGAGGGAAGCAGGCTATCCGCCGAGCAGAGAGCCCGATGCAGGGCTTGATCCCAGGACCCTGGGATCATGACCTGAGCCGAAGGCAGAGGCTTTAACCCACTGAGCCACCCAGGCGCCCTAATGTATTGGATTTTTATTATAGGGTCATGCATGCTCACAGTTCACTGTATGGAAGAGGCAGGAAAGCATAAAGGACAAAATGCATGCCGGGAACAGTGGACCTGGCAGGGTGGGAGGGGGTGGGGGTTTCAGGGGTGCAGCCCCGGGAGGAGAGAAAAGCAGGGCTCCTGCGGGCTGTGCAGCCTATAAACGTTCTGGAACCAGGGCAAGGGGCCCAGGGCGACTCAGGAACAGAGGGGCGCGGGAAGTCTGACCAGTCAGGCAGGCTAAGTCAGCAGCAGCCCCGCCCTCGGCACCCAGGCTCCCTGGCAGTCTGAGGTCGCCTCCCGCCCGCCCAGACCCCACGGCGCGGCGCGTGCGGATCCCGGAGGGCGCCCAGGGGGCGGCGGCGCGGACAGCTGGGGCTCCAGGCAAGCCGCTACCACTTCTGTGGAGCAGGGGCCGGTCCAGCCGGCGCGGGTTGGGGCGGAGAAAGTGGAGCAGCCGGGCCTGGCAAGAGGCAACGGGACAGCTGTGAGCTGAACCCGCGGCGCGGGCGGGTAGGAGGGAAGGCGACGACGGCCAAGGTACGTGGAGGAGGGTTGGAGGGCTGCAGGGTGCGCTCTTCCCCTGCCCCCTCTGCCCGGGGCCGCCCCGGAGGCCGGCTCTTCTACCCTGATCCCCCGGGGCAGCCAAATGCGCGCGTCTGTGTGTGCAGCACATGGAGTGGGGGGCGGGGAGGGGAAGAGGAGGGAGGGGAATCTGTGCCCCACCTTGTCCCCCGCAGGGGAACAGAGAGGGTCCCCACCCCTGCCGCCTGGCCTGACCTGGCTCTTGCTTCCTGGTGACACAGATCCCAGAGGGGACTGGAGGAGGACTCAGGAACCCTGGGGGTTGAGATCAGGAAGGACTTCAGGGACCCTTTTGCCACATCCAGCGTCTTTGTTTTACAGATGGGGAAACTGAGGTTCAGAGGGAAGTGACTCGCCCAAGGTCACAGATCTAGAAAGGAAACTCACTTGCGGGTCATTGCTGCTGGGAGCTCTTGCCACGTGGACCAGGACAGCAGCATGGCTGTTGCCTTGTGTAAAAACAAAGAACTGAGAGAGAGAGAGACAGACAGACAGACAGATAGACAGAAGACAAAGAGAGAAAGAGAACCTCCCAGAGCAGAGGAAGAGGGTCAGGAAATGGGCTGATACTGGGGCTGCACTTCCTCCCTGGCTGTTCCTGCTGTGGTCTGGTCTTGTGACGCCGCTGGCCGGCTGTGCGGGCTCTAGCCCAGGTGTTTGTGCCTGTGCATGCACACGCGCATCTGTTTGTATGCATGTGTGTGTGTGTAACACTATGTAGTCAGTCTCCCCCGAGCGTTTGGGGAAGCCCATTGAGTCCCATGTCTGTCCACTTATACACAGTGCACTTGTGGGGGACCTGCCCCGTGTTTGACTCTGAGGTTTTTAGAGACAGGCTCTGGCATCGAAGGGACCATTTTCAAGCTGTTATTGTTCTTTTTTCTTTTTCTTTTTTTTTTTTTTTTATAATTTCCTTTAAACAACACACACATACACAAAATGGCCCATTATTTCTACTCATCCATCCAGTGACCAGGTGATTTCTTTGACATCTCAGATTGTTTCCTTTCCTGTAAGAGAAATTTGGTGAGGCCCAGTTGAGTTCAAGCCAGAAAGTGTCCTGTCCACAGGGGTGCAGGGTCAGTGGGAGCTGCCAGTCAAGTCCAGACCTCCCAGCACGCACTGCCAGCCTGTTGAGACAAGGACAGGGGGACAGGGAGGAAGCAGAGAGGAGGGGGCGGCAGTGGGAGAAGAGACGGGGGGGGCAGGGTGAAGAGAAAAAGGAATGCCTGAGCCCATGGAGCAGACCACTCAGAGGCATGGGCAGAGCTCTCTTTGGGGACCCGCACTTTGGGACTGGGGCTCCCCCATGCTCAGAGAGGCAGCGCAAAGCAGGGAGGTCACCAGATGGACATAACGAGAGACGAGAGCTAGTCAGCCTGATAACTTCTCATGCAATCCATTCGCTTTTGAGAGGGAAAGGGAGCGTGTGCACCACGACGCCCCTGGCAGGACATGTGGGACAGACCAGTCATCCTCACGACAGCCAGTGCACATCCAGGGCCAGACATGGATTTCCGGGCTTAAGCCTTGCTGCAGCCCAGTTGCTCTGCTGTCATTCCCATTTTATAGAAAAATTAACTGAGGAACAGAGAGGCGAAGTATCATGCCCAAGATCACACAGCCAGGAAGTCGTAGAGGCAGCATTGGAACGGTGTGGCTGGTCCAGAGCCTGGACCTTCAGCATCTCATGACCCTGGCCCTCCACTCACCACCAGCATCAGGATAGAGGGGATCCCTCTGTCCCCCTCCAGGACTCAGCATGGAAGATTTTGACTCCTTGTTTCCCCTTAAGAGCTACTCCCAATGGTCCCCAGAGCCTGACTTTATCTGGATAACAGGACAGCTGTGGTTGAAGGCGAAGTGACTTGGGGTGGGGGAAAGGAAGGATGCTGTGGGCTTGCACCCTGTTCAGGGGCTCCTGGCCCCCAGTTTCTAGGTTCTGATTCATTCTTGCCTGGTAACCAGACCGGGTCCCTGAGGACGTGAGTACTTGGTTAGACACTGGAAGAGCCTCTTGAAGGCCCATGTTGGGACTGGGGTCCTCAAGGCCTTGTCTGCCTGGGGTGACCCGAGGGGTCCCCGTCTGATGGGCAAAGTGACATTTGGGAGCCTCTCCTAGCTTGAGGAGTATAGGATTTCTTCTGTGACAGATTCTTGTGGAGACGATGTATTCCCTTGTCGGTTTGTTTTGGCTCCCAGTCCCAGCTGTCTCAAAATGTCAGGGAGGCTCTTTCTTCCCCCGCCTGCTTGCCGGACGCATGCCGGATGGGGTGGCCGAGGGAGGCGTTTACAGGGGCAGCATCTAAGCACTGGCCAGAGCCTGACCCTGGATGATACTCCAGGCGCATGTAGGAGATGAAGGAAAGTAGAAGCAGCCAGACTTCCCACGTGGTTCAGGTTCAGGTTCGCTATGCTCTGCCCCACTGAACTTGTGCTAAAGATCCTTTATTCACGGAACAGAGCTGCCCCACCCTGGTGGCTGGGCCTGAGAAACTGTGGGAGGAAAGGAACCGTTCCTTTTGTGAGGGAGCTCCCTGAGGTCTGGCCGGCTTGCCTCAGCTCCCAGCTCTGCCTCCTGGTGCTCCCTGGGTCTGTGCAATTCTCCGCCCTACTGGGCTTGGAGGAAAGGTGAGAAGGCAGGACTTAGCATGAGGCTGGGGTGTACCTGCCCCAGTGTGCTGCCCTCCTCCCGAGGGGCAGGGGGCCTGCATTTGCCTTTCTGGCTGAGCAGCTTCTTTAACTACCACGCCCCCCTTTTTTAAAACTCACAGCAGTACCAGGGACATATGAGACTGGCTACAGGGGCTCAATTACCAGAGCAGACAAGAAGAAAATCTCTCATTAGCTGGGCGATTGGTTTGTTTTCACTTTATTTGTTTTAGAGGTTGCTCTGTGTTGAGTTCCAGGATTTGCAGCTGGCCTAGGTACACAGACGGAGCTCTGCCACGTTGAATCCACATAACCCAACACCTGCACCCACTAGGAGGGAAGGGGAGGAAGACCGACTTCCTGGAACCCCACCCTGAACAAACACGGAAATTCAGGAAGCCTCTCGCCCCTGCAGCAGGAGACTGGATGCATAGAAATGCACCAGGCGTGGCTAAGAGCTGGGCACGAGTGAACCTGTTCAAGCCTTATTCCAGCCTCGTGAGATAGGTACTATTATTACATTCTTCCCATTTTATAGATGAGGAAGCCAAGGCTCCGAGAAGTGGAGTAAAACGCGCCCTCGGTCATACACTAAGAGGCCAGTCTGGGCTTTGAACCCCTGCAGCCTGGCCCCAGGGCCATGGCCTCAACCATTCCTCAGGCTGCACCTGTGGATGTGGAGCCCAGAACCAGAAACACGCTGGTTCTGGCCCGAACCAGCCACATGTCCTCAGCCTGAGTTTTTTCCCTCTTCAGTGAAATGGGACTAGGTACCTACCAGTCCATCTCGGGTGAGCTAATGGACATGGAAGAGCACCATGGGGAAGGCTCTCATGGTCCCTGTGGTTGGGGTGGCGTTACTCATTGAGAGTTTGGTGTTGAGCTCTATGGTCTGGGACCCTTCCCCCTTGTCTATTTCTTTTTTTTTTTTTTAAGATTTTATTTATTTATTTGATAGACAGAGATCACAAGTAGTCAGAAAGGGAGGCATGGAGAGAGGAGGAAGCAGGCTCCCTGCTGAGCAGAGAGCCCAATGCGGGGCTCGATCTCAGGACCCTGAGACCATGACCCGAGCCGAAGGCAGAGGCTTTAACCCACTGAGCCACCCAGGCGCCCCCACCCCCCAGTCCATTTCTTTTGGCTTCACAGAGCAGGCAGGATTCAAGCTGGACCTAGAAGAACGGGTTCACTTTGGAAAGGCACAGAAAAAGTGGAGGCTGGAGGTAGGGCCTGGGACAGGGCACAAGCACAGGGGGCAGAGGCATGTGGGTAGGTGGCAGAAGGACCCTGCAGGGGTCTGTGTCACCAACTCTCTGTGTCCAGCTTCCAGCAGAACTCTGTACCCCATCGCTGCCGCTGGGGCTTTTAATGACAGCTGGGAAATGTTACTGGGCCCCGGTGTGCGGCCAGGCCTAGGCCACAGGACATTTGCTTCAGCAGCACCCTGAGGCACAGGCCAGCCCTTTCTTCTCTGGAATGGCAGGACCAGGCTGGCATGCCTGTCTGTGGACATCAGAGAGGTCATGGCCAAGGAGGTCAGAGACACTGGCTGGAGAGGCTACTTGTACCTCTAGCCAGGGTGTGTTTTTTTGCGAGGAAGGCGGAAATGGGGTGTTTATTACCTGAGCATGACTGAAAGTTAGGGGCATCCTTCCCAAAGGCAGGGGTTCTCGCTGAATAAGACAGCGGCACTGCTATCCGCAGAGAACCTGGCGGGGAAGGGGAGGAGATCCTTGGAAGTTACCTTTGTTTTGTCTGAATTATGGCCAGAAATAACCATCAGGGAGATACTGTTAGGAAAGACAAACTATTCTGCATAATCTTAGATCTTTCTCTGATGCTACGGTCCGTGGTAGATGTGGGGTTTCAGGGCTTCTGGGAGGTTGTATTACACAGACATCCTGGATAAGGATCAGCCCCACATGGTGGAGGTGGTAGCCTTCGGGTTGGTGTCTGGGCGCATGGACGCTGCCTTCCCTCAGAATCCCCCAGAGAGAAGCTGACCCCCAACTCTCCTTTATGTTACTTCTGTTTCAATGTCTTCAGTGGGCTGAGAGATGAATTTTAGGGTACCGCTTTATTTTATTTATTAATTTTTTTTAAGAGAGAGAGAGAGCATGTGAGCGGGAAGGGGAAGAGGGAGAAGGAGAGAGCATCTCAAGCAGGCTCCACCCATAGACGGAGTCCATCCCATGACCCTGAGACCATGACCTGAGTGGAATCCAAAAGTTGGGTGCTTAAGCCATTGAGCCAGCCAGGCACTGCTCTTTTTGAATTTTTTGTGGTAACTCAGTCTTGTTTTT